CCTGATGGATGGTGTTTGGTGTCCTCTGTCCTGATGGATGGTGTTTGGTGTCCTCTGTCCTGATGGATGGTGTGTGCCGTCCACCTTTCAAAATGTTCTTTTGGTAAAATGATAAGGTAAATGTTGTTAATGTGTCAGCGATGAATCCAAGTGTGTGATGATCATTTTGTGTATATTTAGTATCTGACACATGTTTTTTTTTGTCAGTCTGAGGGAAGCTCAGTCAGTCCTGCTGAGGAAGACTTCATCACTGGGAGGAAGAGGAGTCAGCATTGCCGCCTTCTTGATGAAGCACATTCTAAGAGAGAAGAGGAAGCTTCACATTCTGACCTCCTCTTCATCTCCTTTGTTGATAAAATTCAGCCTGAAGACTTTCCACACCAGGAGGGGTCAGGGCCCGGTCCAACTTGCTGCTCGCACAGGTTGGTTAACGACACGTTTCCTGTTTTCACCAGTTCTTCTGGGAGCTGGAGAGCAGATCAATTCTGATGCTTTGTTTCCGGCCGAGAAAAACTCAATAAACGTTCTTTTAATATTTTAGTGTTTTCATCAAAAGATTTTTAGTTGTTTTTCAAAGTTTGCTTTTAGAAGCAACACATTTGAAATTTGATTTAGTCAAACATAGTCCCAACATATACAACGCATGCATGCAGCACCAGACTGGAAACAGCTGGGGTCAAAGGTCACTCCGAGACAGCACCTAATGCTCACTGGATGATTGTAGATGAGGTAGTGAACGGTCAAGAGCATCAACATTGAAATACTGTTTCAGAAACGCTCACAAAACAGATAAACCAAAAATGGAGGTGCAGGAGTTATAGTATCTGGGTGTTTCGTTCACAAGTGATGTAGCGTTGGATAAAATAAATATCCTTTCATCATCTACTTACTGAAGATAAGCCACACTGAGGACACGAGAAGATTTTATCCGGTTTACTCCTTGCAAGGGGCGAAGTTCACACACAGGTTTACACAGATGTTACACTGAAGCTCCGGTTGCGAGCTTCGGAGAAAGCCTTGGAGTTATCAGGTGCACAGGCTCCGTGCTCCTCAGAGAGGAGCGTGCAGGCTCCCCCTGAGCAGACAAACTCCCTAACTCACACACATTAATTTAACTTCAGTTACTGATAAACATCCATAACCTTTACCTAAATTCCCCTGACAGGTAAGATGGAGCGGATGGATCGATGGATTAGGTTCATGTCCTCAGTAATGAGGATGTTGCTTCGATTTGTTGTAGTGAGGAAAAAGCTAAGTCTAAAGGCAGAGCTCTCAATGTACTGGTTTGTCTTTGTACCAGCCCTCACAGATGATCATGAGGTTTGGATCATGACTGAAAGAACGAGATCCCAGATACAAACGGCCAAAATGGGCTTCCTTTGCAGGGCATCCGGGCTCAGCCTTAGAGAGCGGGTGAGTAGCTCCATCATCGGGGAGGAGCTCAGAATGGATCCGCTTCTCCTTCACATCGAAAGGAGTCAGTTGAGGTTGTTCGGGCATTTGATTTGATTTGCCTCCTGGACCCCTCCCTATAGAGATTTTCTCAACACTAGTAGGAGGCCCTGGGGAAGACCCAGAACATGCTGGAGGGATCGTATATCTTCTCTGGTCTGGGAACACCTCGGGGTCCCCCAGGACAAGCTGGAAAGTGTCACTGGGTTGAAGGATGTCCGAGTTTCTCGCCTGGACCTGTTACCTCCGCGACCCGACTACGGATAAGCGTTAGAAGATGAAGAGATAAAGAAAACATCTGCTCCGGCAGCACAAAGACCACTTCGACCCGTCAGCATCAGAGTTCATGATGTCGCCGCTATATTCCAGGAAATAATCCTCACCGCATCGTAACTACGCTTTGAACAGACCAACTTATGTTTACTGGTTTTCTTAACACGTCTTCTTTGACAGTAACGGACCTTTTTGACCGTTCTAGTGCTGGTGTAGTTGGTGTGTGTTGAACCATTTACCATTAAACTCAATAACTTCTAGCAAAAGTTAATGTGTTACTTAGCCAGTTATATAGCAAGCTAATTTATTTTCCCATTTTTACAAGTTATGTTTATCTAATGTGTTTAAATGACCTCACAGCTGTATTACCTTTGTTTAAATTAGCCTGTTAGCTTGTTAGCCGTGTTGCGTTTGTTCCCTGCAGGAATCCTAAAAGAACTAATTAAGGTCAACTTCGTAAATGTGTTTCGCGGACATCGACCACGCAGGGTCATGTTAGATCACTTTAACAGGATTAGCACACATACCACAACACACAGGTCATTATTTAGCAGAACAACCAGAAATGCGTTGCTGCTGCTGAGAGATAAACGGCTCAACGTTTGTGCTGCTGGAATGTGTTTTCCATCCATGACGTGTTACCGGAGCTCCACAGCCTGAACGGACTGTGGAGCTCTGATAAGCCAAGTGTTAATGCAGTCACACAGTTCAGACCTGATCGCTGTGATTAGGCCCATAAACAGTTCCTGGTATTGTTCAGCCGTTGGGGGTCCGGACCTCAGACCGGCCTGCTCTGATGGTAGACCTGGTTAAGGTCACGGATCACAGAGAACCAGGTTCCGACATGTTTTTGACCAAGTAATGAGCAGATCTCTGTTTGCAAGGATTCTTAGTTTGAGAAACGATCGGAGAGATTTATTACAAACAAGTTTCTAAAAACAGGAACTAACTCTGGATCGTCTTCTGTTTTATGGACCGCGGGGATCCGGTTCTGCGGAGGTCGTTCTCAAGAAGATGTTTGCTAAAGTCAAGCGATGGAACTCAGAGAGAACTGGACGAACTGCAATATACAGGAGAAGCTGAAACTGAGCTGAAAGCTAAATGTAGCTAAATAATTTGCCAGCCCTGAGTCGGTCCGACCTGGAACCAGAACTGATCCAGCAGATTTACCGGAAACTGAAGCACGATAAAAAACCTCAGCAGAGAGAAGTGTTGATTTAAATCTAAACCTTTTATTTACCAACGCATGACTCAACTCTGGCTCAAACTGGACTAATGGTTCTGTAGTAGTAATAATCATAATGTCATTGAGGTTCTGGTGTGGATGAAGGATCAGATCCAGATCTTGTCAGAGCAGAACATGGACCACAAGGCACCGGTCCAGTTTTAGGGGTGTCAACATGCCAGTGCGGTTCTGTAAAGTGGTGCAAAGAGTCCATTTCCTCTCACTCTGCAGGCTGCAGCCACATCAGGACATCTGCTGTTTCCGACCCCCTGAAACCCAAAACCAGGGTTGCATCATCACCCTGACTCCCTGTAATGTTCTGCAGCTCGTTACGAAACTGTGTGCAGAGATTGAGGGCCTCAGGAGTGAGGAAGAGGAGGCCAAGGGCTGCGTAGGTTCAATGATGGGCCCGATGGACCCAGTCCCTGCTAAACATTTAGTTTGGACTCGAGCCCGGAGCTGCACACTGCTTCCAATTACCTCTGTGCCTGGCTCCAACTCTGCTCGCTCACACTCAGAGTTCAGAGAAAACTGACCGGGGGAGGGGAGGGAGCAGGGGATGTCGTCTTCTTCCTCCCCTTTTTCCTTCTCCTCCTCCTCTGTTTTCAGTCGCCCACGGAGGAAGGGAAGGAGAGCAGGAGGGCCGTTCGGGTGGAGTAGTTCCACTGCAGACAGACTCTCACCATGCGGCAGCTGAGACTCATCTGTGTGCTGCTCCTCCTCATCTTCATCACCTCCCCTCTGACAGCTAACGGACAGACGGGAGGAAGAGGAACAGAGAGGTTCCAGGTGACGTTCACGCCGACCATCTGTAAGGTGCTCTGCAGCCAGGACCGGTGTGTCAACCACTGCGAGAGAGGGAACGTCACCACGCTGTACAGCGAAGGAGGAGGAGGAGGAGGAGGAAGGAGAGACAGCGCCCATGGACCGGGTTTCAGAGTCTGTAAGTTTCACACGTCCTGCTGAAGATCCTGCACAGAACACGTCTGTTTTCAGAAGCAACAGGTTCTGTTAACGAGAACCTTACGGTGCAACACCGCTGCTGACCACCAGGTGGCGCTCCAACAGGCTGTGGTAGTTTCTCACCGGGCTGCGACGAGTTGGGAGACACAAAAAACAAGAAACTGTCACTTGGAACCAGACAAACGCCGTCGATGTTTGGGCCAACTTTCGTCACAAGTTTACATACGCAACAGCGGCAGCAGCGCTCAGGAATTAGACACCAAATTAAGAAAGGTGTGAGTCGCCTGCGACAAATCTCCTGTTAAAGAATAAAAAAAACATTTTAAACAACACAGTTCACAGATTGTCTCCGTCTGTTGCGTCTCAGTGAGACGTCCTGCAGACCAGGGGCCTCGAGTGTGAACAAGTGCACAGCTTTTATAATGAAAGTTAGCATACTGACAAAATATTCAGATTCATCAAGAGCGCATGTTTCTGCTCGCCTTTTCTTCGTGCATTTAGGTGCGTCAGAGCCCAGCTGCCCCCTCCCATAAATAAATATTTAAATTAGTATAAATGCACGGCAGGTCTCCGTGCTGCGTTCAAATAACCAGGGCAAAGGTGCAGAGGAAGGCAAAAAGTAAAAATACTGAATGTGAAATAGATGAAGTCGTGCCCGGGGCGGGTGTGTGTGTGTGTGTGTGTGTGTGTGTGTGTGTGTGTGTGTGTG